ATAAATGAATGATATTGTTGATAATTATTTGTAAATTGTAGAGAGTAGAGAATGAAAATTTGGTGGGAATAAAATATTGTAATGGATTGAACATTTATAAGAGAAGAAAAAGAGAAAAAAAATTTAAATAGGTGACCAAACGGTCACTGAAAATTCAGTGACCGGAACAGTCACTGAATTCAGTGACCGTTCTGGTCACTTATGTTAATTAATTTTTTTTTTATAATATACGAGTCCACGAGCCTGACTGTGGGCTCGTTCACGAGTTGCTCGGCGAGCCGCTCATGAATAGTGACAACCCGAGCCGGCTCGGCTCGGCTCGTCTAGCGAGCCGCCCGCTCGTACTCGTGCTCGCTTTTTAACGAGCCCGAGCGGCTCGTGGGCGTGAACAGTACGAGCCGAGCGGCCTAGCCGACGAGCCGCTCGGCTCGATTGCCATCACTAGCTCCCGCATCACAATGTGAGGTCATGGAGCTCTTTTATTTTGTGGGTTTAATTTATTTTAAGTTATTTGTTGTACTATTAGGTGAGAATATTTTCAATCTGTATACTCATTATATTCTTTGATAGTGTGGGTGTGGCATAGGTCTGGCTTGGTATAAATTTCAAACGAAATAAATGATAAGAGAAAACTGATGTTGATATTAGTACACCTTATGTTACCTTGTTACATCCCTATAAAGAGAATGCTCCATCAAAGTCTTTGATTTTTGATAACCCGTGTCTCGAAGGATGTTTGAGAATTATAAAAAGAAAATCTTCAGAGGCACTTGCTTTGATCATTTTCTCTATGCACTGACTCACCACCTTATCCATCAAGTGCCGAACCCAAAAGAAAGGTGGTTTAGCATTTTCTTTTAAAATTTTCCAAGGACTTTTTTATCATTAGTGGAATAAGCGTTCAGGTGGCAATAAACGAATGAAGTATGACCCGACATATTGCTGGATCAATAAGAGATTCATTTTTTTGAAACTGTCCAATGACAAAATGTCACATGTCATCCTATCAAGAAAGTTGTCAAGAAAAATGTGTAGATTTTGCCATTTGTACATTTCTTTTTACCACCTTTATTGATAGAAAATGTGTTGGCAAAAAACTATTGGATGAAAAAACAATTTTTTTAAACCAATGGTAGTATGTCACATGGCATTCTGTTAAGGAAGATGTACACCAAGCATGGTTGACCAAAGGATTTACCAATTTGTACATCACTTCTTACCACCTTTGTTGACAGGAAGTGTGTTGGCAAAAAACTATTGAATGAAAAAACAGTTTTTCTTTAAATTGTCCAATAACAATATGACATGTCTGTCAAGTGATGTACACAAAACATGGTTGATCGAAAGAATTTTGCCATTTGTACATCACTTTTTACAATGCTCGTTAATAAAAAGTGTTGACAAAAAACTACTAAATGAAAAATAGCTTTAATTTTAATGTCACATGACATTCTGTCAAAAATAATATACACCAAGCATAGTTGACAAGGATGGTTGACTGAAGGGATTTTGCGATTTGTAATACTTTTTACCACCCTTGTGACAGAAAGTGTGTTGGCAAAAAACTATTGGATGAAAAACAACTTTTTTTTTAAAACCGCCCAATGAAGATGTACACGAAGCATGTTTATAACTGAAGAGGCTCACTATGAAGATAGTAGTCAGAAAGTGTACAACATAAGATGTGATGCTATGCAATGGGAGATGAAGGCAAAACTGCATGTTAACCACCTTTGACCATTGAATACGAACATTCATTTTTCTGCTCCCCGGATTCTTCATTTATGATAATTCTTCAATTTTTGAAGTCGAACAGTAATATGCTGGGGTTTGTTTTAAATTTCCAGAATTTTCCATTTTTGAAACACATAAAGGTATATGTAATTATCCCTAGAATTTATTGGAAAAACTAGTAAACTGAACAAACTGAAATTTATTTCATACAAAAGCGTGGCAAAGAATTTCCCACATCCCTTTTTCCTCTCAGAAATTTTTCGGGTTTATGGGAAACCCCCATTGGTCCGGGACGAGAGAGCCTTGGAAATAGCTCTGATTGTATTCGGGGTGGTCCTGCAGCAACCTCCAACAAGAGAAGCCCCAGCTTCACACCATTTGCCCACGTACGACACAAAATCTACATCTGAAACTCCACTCGATGGCTACAAGAGCAAAATCATCATTGATTGTGAAGATAGTGTAAATTTCATTTCTTCGTTGCAACAAATTTTTAGGCAAAAGTGAATGTTCAAAGTCATATAATTATCTATACAATCAAACAGGACATTATGTTTATGGCCTGAAATGCACCAAAAATAAAATTGAGGATCCCGACATCTCTGATAAGAAAGAAAAAGTATAAGAAGTTTATCATAGAAACAACTAAAGATTCAATATCAGTCGACTCACCAGCCACTCCTTTCTATCAGCATCGTAAGTCTCACCACTGTTTGGATATATGAGAATTGGCTTAGTAGTTACCTGCAGAAAGTGTACCATGAAAGCACAAGTGATAGAAATGGTAGTTTTGTTAAACTTAATGATCATCAAAGTACTCAGAATATGTACCCTTCCAATTGACTGGATAAGTCCTTGAATGTATCGTGGTGGGGTACAATTGATTCCAACTCCAATGACTTGATCACACGAATGAGCTATTAAGGCACAATCTGCAATGGGATCCCCACTGACGACATTGGTTCCATCCTTGGAATTAAATGAAAACCAAGCTGGAATGTTAATGGCCTCTTCCTCAAGAAGCTCAGCATATGCCTACATCACATTGGAGTACTAAAAAAGGTCACAAATCAATAGTTTACAACTACTGATTTCAACATTCTTAGTATATGAAAATCCACCTATTCTTAGAACCCACGATTTGCATCAGTGACACAATGCATATGTGCAAGCATTTATGAACAAGATTTAGGCCTAAGCAATATTAAGCCTTGTGTGGCCGCAAAACAACATTCATAGTCCGTCCCTCTCTAAAAACGCAAGCTTGTAGTTGGGGCGGTTTAGCATGGTATCAGAATAGGCAGAAATCTCGAACTCATAAAACAAGAAAACAATAATACTTAAAGGAGTACGAGAAAGACCAATGTGATTAACAAAATGATTGAGATACATTTCAAAGCGCCGCAAATTTTGTCAATGATCCTAATAATGAAAGATTAAGTGCCTATGAAAAATCTGGTTAACATCAGCAACAAAAATACCTTAGCTTCCAGTTTATTCGGAATAGTCTCAAATGCAATCAAATCAGGACCAGATTCAGCTAATACTTGGACCCTTCTCCGGTGAAAATCTTTAAGGGTCTCCAAACTGACATTTTTTCCATAAACTCCACTGTAAAAGTAAAATTATAATAACAGTTAAAGCTTTTAAAAGACTGCAACTAGTCATTTGTGATTCAAGAACCATTGCCTTATGGCAAAGAATTATTCATTTAACAAACCTATATTCAGAACCATCAGCCAAATAAGCTCCATAGCTCCCCACAGATGCAGCAACCAGAACTGGACGTTGTCTTGGGATTATTCCATCTTTGTCTCCTATAATATTCCAGGAACCTTTGGCAGCTCTGTCATAATATATATCTCGTGCTTCACGTGCTATTTCAACACTTGTTCTGAGTAAATTTTCTCCTTCTTCTCTGGAAAATCCCTTAGATTCAAACCCCTGAAGCGTAGCCTGCCTCATGCCACCAAAAAAGATATTTGAACACCCGATGAGTGGTAATTTTGCCTACTATAGCTTACACTTTGATTATGAAGACACATAAGGAAAACATCAAATACCTGATATGATGAAGATATAATGATATTTGCACCCGCTTCAAGGTAGTCGAGGTGAACCTGTATAAAGGAAGGATGTTGATCAACGTCCAATGCTTGATGGGTTATATTTTGAATTAAGCTCAAAATTTCTGCCGTCTCAGCATTAAAACGCTTCATTTCTATCGTAAATGAATTTGTTACAGTGCTAATCAAGTAACAATATTAACCCCTGAATTAAGTACGTCAAATTTGACTTGAAATTGAAACTTACAATCTACACAAGATTGCACTTTGTTAATGTTAATTAATTATACACAGATCAGTCCACGTGCAGTAAGTTATATAATGTATGATAATGACACCGATAAAACAAATTGCGCCGAGATTATTATCATGTCAACTTAAAATTAATGCAAAGAAAGAGGTTTCATATATCCTTTAATCTTTTTCTTTTCTTTTTTTTTTGCCTCTTCTTCTTCCTCTTGATCAACAAGATCTTCCTTTCAACTCCAGTCGATAATGGAATCAAAGAAAGTTTATATTTTTTAATTTTGGGGTTCGAATTTTCTCCACTCCGTTTGGTTCAATTAAACTTAAAATATATAGATATTAAGACATGAGTTTCCATCTTAAAATGGTCAATCTTATTAAGAGAAGTAGTATAATCATTTATATGTTGGTCTATATTTTCATCTTTATTCAACATGGAATTCTCCCTTAACATGCCCCGCAAGATGGTGGTTCGTTTGATCAAACCAATCTGGAAATCCACGAGCTCATTTTTCTAGTTTTAATCGAATTCAATTTCTCGTGGAAGTTTAATGGAATTTGATACCATATTAACACTTGAAGTTTCATCTTAAAATGTCAACTAGTAATCCAAGACCTTATATGCTGCCCGTATTTTCATCTTTATTCGAAGCGGAATTCATCCCTTAACAATAGATGCAGACAAAATTAAGAGCAGCTAGCTAATACCGGCATCAAATATGGAAAATGAAACACGAAGATTTAATTAAAGACTTGTTACAAAAAAACTAAATTACCAGAAAATCATGCATATACACCAAATAAAAGTATTAACAAAATAAAAATTTATAGTGTGCAGATATAAATAAAATTATAAAAGTGCTAAAGAGGGTACCCTTCTAATTAGGTGGGGGGAGCTAATGAGGTACTTGGCGCTCCATAGAGGGTCATTGAGGTTAGCACCATGCCTCTCGAGCTCCGTCGCAAGGCCACCGTCAATGACGGCGTAACCACCACACAGGCGGAGGAAACTTTCCATCACTGCTGAATATGATCCAACTGTTTCTATCTCCATTTTTCCTTCAATATGGTTATGCTTTTTATCTTTTTTTAATAACGCAGGGCGGCGGCAGAGGCGTCGGTGGCCGGAGTAGTTTGCAGTAAGCAGAGCTGGCAGAAATGTAAATGCTTACAGAAACTTGAGATTTTATATGTCACCTTCAAAATGCCCCGTGTGGCGAATTTATAGGACGAGCATTTCAGAACTTTATACTATTGGTCCCAATGTATTACTAAATTAACAAGCTAGTACAAAACCTTTAAACATGAACAAATTGATTCCAATATAACTCCACAGTCAATCTCCACTACATAATCCATTTAAACGTATGTGCAATGGTCATTTCATAAATATTAATTTTTGCATGTCAACATAATCCGTTAAAAAATTTGAGGTGAGGCAATTTCAAATTTCACAAAGGTCGTGTGATAAATTAATAAGATGTCATCATTTTCTGTCATTACGAACATAAGGTGTAACTTTAATAAAATGTGAGGAACAATTTTTTTTTTTTTTTACTAAAATGCATGATTAAGGGCATGTTAGATTAGATTTTTTGAAATAGATTTTGTAAAAAAGTGATTTTTTTTTATTTTTTATTTTTTTGAGAATGTGTGATTAAAAAAGTTGGAAAAAAATTTCGCTCTAGGTACAAAATTATTCTATAGGGCGAATGTGTAATTGTCTAATTGAAAATAAGTTTGAAGAAATAAATTTTAAAGAATATATATACACACTAATGTATATATGAAAAAATTGGATAGAATTAAGTATTCCTTATATGTGAAAGATAAGTTAGGAAGATTCCTTAATAAATAAGTAAACTAAAATATTATGATTGATTTAATTGTATTGTTACTATAATTAATTCCGTCTATATGTGTATAATTATATAATTATGATTGATTGAATTAAATTATACAAGCATATATGTCGCTTTAAGTAAGAACAAAAATAACAAAACTCAAATACTTTATATATTATTTTTATTTTTTTAATCATATTTAACTCTACTTATACTTTCTTACATTCAAGTCTTCTCATATAAATATTATTATACATTTAGTCAAACCTAAAAGTAAAAAACGAAAAAAGTATTCACATCTTTGATAGAGCTGTATTAAAAAAAAAAAAAAAACAAAAAACTTAATTTAGTGTTATCTTTGTTATTATTATTTTATATGAAGCTTTAGACAATCTCGAAACATAAAAAAAGTTTTAGAGCCTGTTTGGTAAGGATTTTTGGGGGAAGAATTGATTTTGAATAGTGATACGATGGGAAATGTGTGGTTAAAAAAGAAGAAAAAAGTATTGATATGATGGAAAATATTATTTTATTGAAAAATGTGTGGTTGAAAATNGAATAGTGATATGATGTGAAATGTGTGGTTGAAAAAAAAGAAAAAATTATTGATGTGATGGAAAATATTATTTTATTGAAGAATGTGTGGTTGAAAATGAGAATTGATTTACTGTAGAAAATCAAAATTCATACCAAACAGGCTCTTAGAATAAATCTTATCCTTTATTGAACCTTGTACCAGATGTATATCGCAACGTCACTTAAAACGATAAATCATGATTATATCTCCAATAATTGGTTCTCTCTCTTCTTTAGGGTCTAATTTGATTGGAATTTCCTTTTGATTGCTATTATAATATAATTAAATTTATATAAATCAGATTATGTGAACAGTAAAACTATTGTCTTATATAAGTAAAATAATATTATGGCTAATTGGCACAAAACATCCCTACCTTTGAGATCTATTGAAGAAAACGTCCATATCTTTCATTTCTTGGCACAAAACGTCCCTACCTTTTTCTTTTGTAGCACTCAACGTCCTTTTCGTCTCTTTTTGACCATTTTACCCTTCTATTAAAATAAAACAAAAACAAAAGAAAAGAAAAATAAAGAATAAATTGCAATCTTACTCCTCAACTTTTTAAAAAATGCAAATGAGTCCAAAATTTATGAAAAAAAAACTCTATCTCTCTCTTCTCCTCCGCATCTCTTCTCTTGCTTGCCCAATATTTGGGATTTTACGGATCCAGAAATCTCAAAAGGCCCCATACTCATTCCCCTTTGTGCTCCAGCAAAAATTTATGCAGGTCCTAAACTAAGTCCCTTCCTCTGAACCCCAATTCTTGCTCATATTGATGAAGTTTGTTCAATCTCTTTCTTCTCTTCCTCATTTTTAACACACTGTCTCTTTTCCACAGTTTTTACACTTCTCTCAGACTTTTTCAGTTTCAAAGCCTCGAATCTTGAAGTCAATCTTTTAATTTCCATCTCAATCCCCTCAATTTCCTCATCAAAACTCTTCAAATCCACATTTTCTTCAAAACCCTATTTCGAAATTCCTCTAGTTTTCGAATTCTTCGGAGCCCCATTAGAATTTACTGGCTTGAAAGGTGTCACCACATATCCGAGAGAAGAAAAAACAAAAGAAATTGGGTTCTCAAATAGAGGACCTTCATTCTCTTTGCTCAAAGAATTCGAGATGGACGACTCTGTTGAATTCAACAAAATGGGCTTCGAAGGACTCCAAGAAAATTCTTTAAGAACTCCGTTATCAAAGGCGGCATTGTTCCATATCTTTCTATATAGAGATTTGACTAGTGAGTTTTGGTGTTCTGAGGAAGATTATAGGTTGAATTATTCCAAGTGAGGAATAAAAGATGTTCCTTTCGGCGTTACATAATAATTTGGCGTTCATTTTGGGTCGATGTTGTCTCTCCATGAAACAACAAATTCTTGTTGCCTTCCAAATTTCCTGTTTCCATAGACTGCTAAATTCAAATACACTGGAAAATGATTGGTATGCACTTCTAGTTCAAAAGAATTCCGATCCAAAACCCGACAAGAATCTCAAAAAGGGGGCGATTTTCAGCATTATAACATCATTGAAAAATGGCAAAAAAATCACATATTTTGAGAGAAAAAGGTGAGGGATTGAATGGTTTGGGGTTTTGACGGCGGGGGTGGAGGAGGCGGAGGGAGCTGGAAGAGAAGAGAGAGAGAGAGAGAGTTTTTTTGTTATTTTTAATATTTTCATAAATTCTGGTCTCATTTGTATTTTTTTAAAAGTTTAGGAGTAAGATTGCAATTTATTCTTTATTTTTCTTTTCTTTTCTTTTTGTTTTATTTTAATAGAAGGGTAAAATGGTAAAAAAAAAAAAGACGAAAATGACGTTGAACGCTACAAAAGTGAAAGGTATGGACTTTTTGTGCTAAGCAATGAAAGGCAGGGACGTTTTCCACAATAGACCTCAAAAGTAGAGACGTTTTGTGCCAATTAGCCTAACATTATTTTAAGGGGATAATTGCAGCAAAAGCCCAAACCTTTCAAACACTAGCAGACTTTTCTCGAATCTTTGATTTGTTGTAGCCGTCACCCCAAATGTTTCATAGGAGGCCCTTTTTTCGATTTCCATCCAAACGTACGTCAGTTGATCACCCAAAAAAAGATTGACCACTTTTTACCAAAATATGGGAGTGTAAATTCGTCGATACACTTTAAACACTAATCTCCAAATAAGTTACTGTTTATTTCCCTCCGAATGTAGTATATTACTACACTAATAAATTGTCAGTTTCTCACTCTTCATCAGCATACTTAATTAAAGGTAGAAGAAATGGAAATGTCAGTTTGCAGTTGAGGACCCCTGCTCAAATGAAGACATCGTTAACTAATTTGAACCCAGGCAAACTATTTCTTACATATCCATGTGGAAAGGATTTGCAATGTTGTACATTCTTTCTGTGGTGGGATCCTCCGATGTGTCAGAGATCAAGGGAGCTAATACCTGGTCTTCCACGGTCAAGGCGAGAGATGGAGGCTGAATTTAGGCTACTCCGCTCAAATGGAGGTGGTGTATGGAAGATTTGGTTTTGTGGGTTTGTCTATAGAATTATTATAAAGTGGATCTGTAGTTAAATCTTTGATGGGTTTTTTTGTTGGATCTGTAATCTTCATTTGGTAATAGTGTAGCATAAGTTAATGGGTGTAAAATGCAGTTCTAATTGTTGTAGTGTTCTGTATGTATCCATTTTTTGCAACTAATTTTCGTAGAAATATGCACGTGGTTGAGACCCCAAACGTTAAGTATATGGTGTAGTGAAACCCCCAACCTTTTGTCCATCTTGGGACAAAGGCCCCAAACAATTTTAAAAATGACGGAAAAGACCCATACCCATTAAACTGCTTACAGAATATACCCCATAACTTTAATAACAGTTTTCATTACAAATGCATCTCAAAATGTGTATATATTGTTGTCATACATAAAATTATAAAATCCATTATATCACATATCTAATTAATAGTAGAATCAAAATGAAAAGTATTTTTCACATATAAAGCGATACTACAATTCCCAGAATATGAAATACCAGAATTACAGATTCAAAAACATCAAGTACATTCCAAGTTCACAATTCATATGCACAAGTTCAGTTTGCAACGACATGAAAACTACGCTGTTGTCGACTTTTTCTTTTTGGGGTTGTTTCCTGTTGAAGGGCTGCACTTCTCTTTCCCTTCTACTTCTGTGTCGCGGTGCTTCAGGAGACTGTATCTGTGCAGTGCATGTTCTCTTGTTGTATCCAACTTCTCCACACCTCTTATATGTCATTTTCATGCATGTTCTTGTCATTTTAACTCCAACCAGTGGTTCAGTCTGAGATCTTTTCCTTAGCTTTTTAGGTCTACCTGTCTACTTCTTCTTCACTGGTGGCTTCAATGGATTTTTCCCCAAATTAGGTCAAAGTTCACGCCCTGGCATAATATGAATTACATGACTGTATACTCTTAGATATTTCTCCTTTTTGTAATATTCATCTACAAATTCATCTACATCTATTTACCTTGATAGCATAACAGAAATAGCGCATGCACATGGAATTCCACTCAATTGACATTTCCTACATGCACATTCTTTCCTAACCAAATCCACCATCCACCTCAAACCATCAATGTTGCGAACTTCAAGTTTTTGATTACCTACGTAATCTGCTCTCATGAACCTGGTATCTGATTTAGCCTTCTCAATTATCCCTACATTTTTAGACCATATGTATGATCTCATCTTTGAATTGTCTCCCTCTTTGCCTTCATCCATGTCATTTGTTGATGCCTATCCAACATTGTGATTATAGGCTTTCCTCCAGCTACTTCAATGAAAGCATTGAAGGCTTCACAAAGGTTATTCAACCAGATATCGCACTTAGCATGTTCCTGAAAATGGGATCTTGTCCATTGAGCTGCTGGCTTTTCACTAAACCAATTGAATTCTTCTTCATTCACTGTCTTTATCTCATTCACAACTGCATTTCATTCCGGTACATTAGTAGACTTGGCTGCAGCCCAAAACAAACTCTTCAAAGTTAGGCCTTTATGTTTGAGAGTGAAATTGCTATACAAATGTCTAGCACAACACATGTGTTCTGCACCTTCACTGTACTGATTCGGGGCTTCAACAAATCATTTTTGCTTGTCAGAAATGAAAGTCCAAGCCTTGCTATTACACATTCCGATGTCAAATACTAAAAGTTCTATGAACCAAGTCCAATTGGCTCTTGTTGACACACTAAAAGTGCAGTCCAAATTAAATGGCCCAAGGAGCGAAGCCTAGTTGAGAACCCAAGATGAAAGCCTAAGCAAAGGGAAGCCCACAAACAAAGGAACGCTGTCGCCCAAGCTTGCAGAACGCCCAGATATTGAGCGAATAAAACACCCTATGGACGCCAAGAGCGAAGGAGTCGTCGCCCAAATTGCTGGATCACCCAGAATCCTAGCGATGACTAAACTTTGTCGTTATCTAAAAGCTACGATTTGAGGCGGTTTGAGCACATCGCGGTTACATCCCACGATTTGAGAAA